CCTTCTTCTTCAGGTCGATCTTCTTCTTCAGGTCGATCTTCTTCTTCAGGTCGATCTTCTTCTTCAGGTCGATCTTTTTCAGAATGATCTTTTTCAGAATGATCTTCAGAATGATCTTCAGGATAGTTCCCGTAAGATGGATCTTCAGACGTATCTGCATTGTTCTTGAAGCCGTTTTCATTAGAGTTAGCAACATGGTACCCATCAGGAGAGCTTCCATCGTTGTGCCTCTCTAACCTGTCATCTTCACTGTCTAACGTGCTGCCTTCAGAGCTGTCCGCATCTTCACTGTCGAACGTGCTGCCTTCAGAGCTGTCCGCATCTTCACTGTCGAACGTGCTGCCTTCAGAGCTGAGGCGTACTTCACTGTCGAACCTGTTGCCTTCAGAGCTGGTCACATTATTTTTGAACCCTCCATCAGGGCCTTCCACACCCGAGTTGTTCCCGATGGATCGGTCCTCGGACCCCCTGGAACTACTAGGCCTGGTCTGCGGGTTTCCCGACCAGGAAGAACTCACACCAGCCAAATTTTCCCCCGCCCGCTCAGATCTTCCCGACCAGTTACCCGATCTTCCAGGGCTGCCCTGGCGTTTGCCGTCAGACCTGTCATCAGACCTGTCTCCAGCCCTGCTTCCCGAGCCAGTGGAGATGACATCAGATCTACTTTCAGATCCCACCCTCCCGTTTTGTCGTCGTTCCTTGCGTATGTATGCGTCTTCATCATCTGCCGCTGCGTTTACTGAGGTGGAGTGGGATTCAGAGGCAGACCTCGCGGCATCTGCGGCGAGGAGAGCGTCTTCGGCAGCCCTCTCTAGAGCCTCTGCCGTGGCCTGTGCCCTTTCTGCAGCAGCTTCCAAGTCGTCAGCAATCAAAAGCTCCTCCTCAGCACTGTCAGTTTGGTTTCGTCCACTCTGTTCACCTGCTGGCTTGGCCTTAGAAGCATCGTCATGCCGGGACTCTGATTGATCATCGGACCTTCCCTCAGTGCTGCCACCCCCTTTATCCTCTTCCGGGCCTGCCGATGGATCGGAACTAGATGAGGCATCACTTGCATTCTGGGCATCTTCAGTGACCTTCTCAAGAGATTCAGCTTCATCATTCGCTCTCTTGACAGCTTGGACCAGGTTTTCAGCGTCCACATCTTGGTCTTCCTCCTCCACTTCGTCGGAGGCATCAGATGGCTCATCACTACTCACGGGAATCTCTTCAGACACAGGGCCATTACTCGACGCTTCATCCTCAGTGCTGCCGGATCCGGATTCCGCATCGTCTGCAAAGCTTCCATCACTCTCTGTTCTACCAACCGCTTCGTTGGAATCAGGTTCTTCGGCGTCTGCCGCAGGCGTGGTGCTTACCTCCTCGCTGGAATTAGCCTCTCCTTCGGGTACTGCTACAGACTCATCACCATCGGAACTGTCAGCTCTTTCTTTTGGAGCTTCTTCCTCTGGGCCTAGGCCTGTCTCAGTCTGCTGCTCTTGAGTCTCTTCGCCATCGGTTTCACTGCTGTCACCATCTTCGAAGGTTTGAATGACCTGTTGTAGCGTCTCTGAAGCGCTGTACGTTTCTTGTGCTGCTTCTTTGAGACTCTGGCTAGCCTGCTCCTCCGAATCCTCAGTATCCTCTGAGTCACCAGTCCGTACCGAGGGGTCGTGTGCCTTGTCATCGTCTCTCACCACGCGAGAACTGTCAGAGCTAAAGGAGGGGCTATGCTCAGCCTCTGACCTAGAGCGCCACCATTTAATTTCCGATGAGGCGCTTGGCTCCTCCACGGATGGAACAGTTACCACAGGCGATTGGGTGCTGTCAACACTCGCGTCAGAAGACTCCGACAGCTGTGGAGGGTAGGATGATTGAGGATGACTTGGGCTAGAAATTGTCGGAGCCTGCTCCTGAATCAGCTGAGCACTGCTTGAGGGGCCATGTACAGCTGGAAGAGTGCTGAAAAAGTTGCTTCCACTCTGAATAGCGGAATCCCTGCTTGAAGGCCCCCCTGCAATGGGTATGGAGCTGCCGGCGGGCTCTTCACTCGAAGGAGAGCTTCCCCTTAAAGGTACAGCGCTGTTCGCTCCGTCAGGGGTGCTCTGTAAGGATGATTGACTTCCAGAGGAAGAAAGCTGGTTCGAGTCACTACTGCTAGAGCTCACAGAAATGATGCTTCCTAATGGGGAACTTCCCAAAGGCTGTGAACTCCCTGATGGCGCATTCCCCTCAGACTGTGTGTCAGAGGAAACTGTGCTGGAGGATGAGACAGGCGAGTCTAACTCGTCTTCTGGGTAAAACCATGAAAATATCGAAGTTCCTGGTGAGGCCTCGTCTGATGAGCTCTCTACAAGGGGTGCACCCGACGATCGTCCAGATGCTCCGCCAGAGGAGGTCGAGACGACAGAGGGACTCGCCACCCGTGAGCTTTCGGCCTGTGTAAGGAATGCCACAGGATAATCAAGAGGCTTTTCTTGTTCAACAACTGAATCAGAGTTCGCAATGAAGGGAAACAGCCGACGGAGCGGTTGTGAAGGGCCATTGAGATCATCTGAGAAACGCAGTCACAGTCAACAGTAGCAAATACCTCAATGACGCTTTGCCGTAAGTCAAGCACAAGGATAAATAAATATTTTGAGATAAGCTGTGGGCCTTCTATACTGCTCCCTACCATTTTTGTTATTACATATGGCTGTTTCTACAATCGGCTTCAGCTGATGTGCTCGGTGTGTTGTATGCTACTTTGTTGGGTAAGTGTAAAACAAGCGAAAAAAACGCTTACATGAGTTTGTTCCGGCTGCGTTCAGCAAGAGAAACGGGCCTAAGGCCACGAAGTTGCGAAGCAACATCGTGGTCGTGAGGAAAGTGACCTCGAGAGAAGCAGAACCCCTGAACTCCGTCAGGCGTAGAAGCGTGGAAGAAATATTGCTTGACGGAGAAATCCACAGAAAAGACAATAATGGATATATTTCAAGCCGCGTAACTTATGTGGTGTGCGTCTGTGTTCCGCTGCAACTAGCGATGCTTTGCGGCAACGAGTGGAAAGCAGGCGCGCAACGCAGCCACGAAGCAAAGGTGTATTGCTTTCGTACATTCAAGACATTGTATTTTACTGCATTAATTGAAAATGTATGGAGGTTTAAAGAGTACGCTGGAGAAAATCGAAACTTGCATTGTGTAACTGACCAGTGGTCCGTACCTATGTCTCAAGGCGAGTTTCCGAAACGCGTCGCCTCCCTGTCCTGCACAGCCCCTAATTTTACGCCGGATCCCTTCTGGAACAGAACTAAGAAAATATATGACACTTCATATTATTAAATATGCCTTGCCAGAACGGCCGACGGCAAAGGGATGCCGAAGTGGCTCCGTGGGTGACGGAAGTGTCCTGAGATCTACCTCACAGCTACCTCACCCAAGTACCCAAGAGCACATCGTTTTTCTTTCAGGTGAATGGAATTCTATGGACTGTGTCTCTACCGTGCCTCTCAAGATCTCGGTTAAGACTGAACTGACGCATGATTCTATTGCTGGAAGTGGAGCTGACAGTGATCTAACGCACCGTGCTTAGATGCGCTCCTCCGTCATCAATGTAGCCTAGTAATATCTATGCCACTACATACAAAGAACAAGCTATGCAGCAATGACGTCCCCGTTTCCGGTTTTTCTGCCTAGCTCATGAATCAAGCAACCAACACGTATGTACTGCGCTATTGTGAGTTGCCGTGTCACCATCGTGGCATCCATGAGCTGTTGCCGGGATGGAGCATATGATCGTAGTTTTTTTGGTCATTTAAAATATCTTTGTGAACTCCGTCTGGCCGTTTGTCTCCAAGTATCGTCGAAGGCTTGGTGATGCGAAGCACTGCTGTAAGGCGTCGCGCGGCTTCCTGCTATCAGTGACAATCGAGGGTGTGTGTAAAACGAGAGTTCGTTTTTGGTTTTTTTGCTCTATTTATGTACTTGAAATGTTAAGGAACACCATCACCAAAAAGCGGCACTGGTTGGGTGTTTTAGACGGATTCACCTCTGATGTCGTGCGGCACCGTTCACAGGAAACACGAATGCAGCAGATAGTGGAACAACAGCTTGAAGTGGCACTAGTTATGACTGGCGCAGTGTTCAGAGTGGCTGCTCCGGTCTCCAGGTGAACTGCAACTGCTTGGCCACAGTAGTCACTGACGGACAAAGTACCGATATAGGCAGCTGGTCGCCAAATTATGCCGTGTTTACGTCACCTCTGGGGGCGAAACACTCATTTGCTCTGTGCATCAGCTGCTGTTACCGGCTGTTCTCCTCTCAATTAGCATCGTATGCTAATCGAGAAACATCGAGAAACATCCCCGGAGGTAGGCAAATACTAGGACTTCGGTTATCTGCGTACCCTGAGGGGGATCAAGGGTAGTGCGTTTGGGTAGAGCTGATATGAATTTTTTATCTGTAGGATTTAGATACCCGTACCCAAGTGCGTTGCGTACGGGTGTCTAAATGCATTGCAGTTTCGATGCCACAGGTTTTGGTGGCATTCCTTTGGCAGTCTTGAAAACATATTTTCCAAATAACAAAACTAGCAAAGATTTCTCTAGAGATTTCAGTTTGAAAATATTTTGGAATAAATGAACTGCAACTCCAGTGTCTGGCAACACTTCATCCACAGGAACGTTCCGAACAAGCACTGTCCGTGAGGAACGAAGGACAACACCTAGTTGCTACACATCTAACCGTTCCTACGCTTGCGGCCAAACAAAGCGATTCAGTGAGTTGGGAAGAACAAAGGCAGCTAAAGCATCCTAATTACCTGTCCAGCAGAAACACAAGCAATATTAATACAAAGGAACGCAGTTTCACTCAGGTATGCGGGCCTGCGAAGCCATGCGCAAGCAATTTCACCGTTCACCGTGGGGACGCTTATCTGACTCTGATAGTTCTGGGATTCTGGATTCATAGGCGATTTTGCACCTGGACGAAACTGGCAGGGTTACTTCAAAGGAAAGGTGCATTTCGCAGGTTACCCAATAACTGTAATTTGCAGTGGGCAACAAGCTTGTCTGCTGCAATGCATGCACCCAACTTGGTACCGGAAGATTCCCATGGGAGTAAGTAAACATATTTGCCCATTTAATATATGTTCTCCAGTCTGGGAATTGATTATTAAACATAAGGATCCACTCCTAGTTCAGGAAGCGGTACAGTCCTCCTGTGCACTGCTTGACACGACGCCGACAGAAAGGTATCGTGTGTCGTCGAGTCTTTGGAGGATTCCATCATAGAGGTGTTCCGCGAACAAAGAGAGTGCTGTGTGCACGACCACAGAAAATAATTTTGCCGGATTGTCTAGCTATTCCATGTGATCTTCGGACTTCCGCTTGGAGGTATCTGAACTCGTCCAGCGTATGCGTTCGTCAATACAGCGCCTTCTGCCTCCTGTAATTCCTTTTCAGAGGCTTCATGTACCTTATAGTCAACCTTTTAGATAGCTTGTTTGGTGACTTGTGCACAAATGCGTCTGTGTTGCCGGTACTGTCTCCGCCACGGCTGCTTTACCGCTTGTTGCTCGACGCTGCAGATATCAATCGGCTGCCCCAAAAGTTCTTCTACCCTGAAATATACCATTTTAACGTAAGGAAAATCCGATTTCACCCACTCTCTTCCACCTCAGAGAGTCGTGTCTAACGTACCTCCAGCTTTGCACTATCTCAACTAAGTGAAGCATTGCTTCAAATGAGTCAGAGGTACTTGGAACTTCAAGTTTGTAGAATTTTGCAATCAAAATACGCCCGTGGTACTCCCGCACTAGTTTCACGGCTCCAGCCTTTGACCCAGTGGACCATCGCCATCGACCACCACCACAATATGCACTGGAACCCAATTGCACACCCAGCAATTAGTATTCTGCCATCTTAAAGTACTTTCCTTATCTATTGTGCATTATATGCCAATCTGGGAAGGATCATTGGGCCTTTGGAGTGGTTTGTTCATATTAGTGCGAAGAGTGCATGCCACTACACAAACACAAGCCAATCGAGAATTTGGGGCGGGAAGTTAATCGAGCCACATTATTGCAGGGCTGTTCACCACTTGGCGATTTCAAGTAGGAATACGTCAGGAAAATGCACATATCCAAGGAATCGGGCGTGCACTGCACAGCTGGGGACTCGAACCACACCTCAGGCAACTTTCAACCTCTCTCTGCTCTCTACAGCAGACCTGTGTAGTCAGTTGACGTTACAGAACCCATCTAAATACTTCGAGCTCATTTAATGCTGCCGCTTTTTCTGAAACTTGACAACGGTGAACCGGACCAAGTGACGTAACAACTATGACACAGCGGTAACTATCTAGGAACAGCAACAAAAGTGGCCACTCTCATGCACTGGCTTTTTCTTCCCCAGCGCCTCACGCCGGAGAATACCAATTTCCTATTTACTGTGGGGGGACTCTCCAGAGCTGCTGTGAACCTGTCTTTGTGGACCTTGACCTTGTTCAGCGCTTATCCTCCCTTTCAAGCTTTATGTAAAATTTTTGTGTCAAGTGCTTCACCTTTAGAAGTGTCTAAGAAGGCGTCTGGCAGATGTCTTCTTCTGGCTTCGCCGATATATGCAGCGTGCCTTTGGTACGTAGGTAATCCGGAGAGGCACTAGCAACAGTGAATCGAGGAGTGAAGTTGCAGGTAGTACGGTGCGACAAGGAGTTCCCACGTAAGCGTGCGGCGGTAAGAGCCACCTCCTTGTGCCCAGACGTGTTCGACCCTTAGTGCAAAGGCATATAAACGCAAGCAGCAAATTTTGCCCTTTCGTTTTCATGAATAATGAAATAATTGGGCACTACAAGCCACGGTTTCTCATGCAGCAGCTGCAGCGAACAACCCTGATGTTGCGGGTGTTGCTGTACCTTCCTGATGAATGTATGTGGAGTAATATGCACCGTTCATGTAGGTAATGAGTGCTTATCCTAATTAGAAAGATGTGATGACCTGTGTTGTCAGTGTGCTTGGGTGCATTCAAATGGCTAAAACTAACCGGCAATCATGTGTAATTTAGTTGGAGTGTGCTGATATGGAACGCAAACTTGGGCCTGTTGTCCGAATGTATTTGGGTCTGAGAACACCTGTCATCTGAGCACGCAGTTAACTCGTAGATTATCCGTCGGCTAGCTTTCACCCCCTGATATGGTCCCACCGAATTTTTACGTCAAAAACGGTACGTTAATTGGTATCATTGCTTTCCCTGACTGCTTTGATCATCCCCACAAGGGCGTTCCTATTATCCTTCCTTTGCAGTTACCTCCCCTCTCTCTGCGTTCCTGCTTCATCGGATTGTGTAAGACTGGGCGTTGCAGCTAAGCATGCTGTATGCATGGACAGCCTGAAAACTCATGATTTGTAGTGGAGGGTCATTTGCAGTACTATTTCTCGTTTCTTACCTAGGGTAGTTGAAGTGGCGGTAAAATGATATTCGCCTGAATGCGTTGAGGTAGTTCCATCGCTTCAGTTCGACGGAGCTTCGGGACTGATAGCCCCACCACCGGAAGGCCGATCCTGGTCAATTTCTACCATGTGTGAGACAAAAGCAATTTAACACTTCCCACAACTTTACAGGAGAATACCACAAGATTCCGTCTACTGGAAGGGCCCGTTCGCAACTAATCATTCTCTTTGCACCAGGGCAACCAACTGTGGGAATTCGCTGCTCGCCCTTGTCCCGATGATTCCACAAGTGCTAGCAAGCGTTTGAATGGTCCTTCGGCTATCGTGGATTGCAACAGAATGAAGGTGGTGCAGATAAAAGTCCTCAAAAATCAGTGGGCGTCCCGCCCTGCCCTGGCCTTCTAGCCACAAACCACCAGACAGAAGGCCTAGGAATGATGGGGAGAGGGGATAGCCTCTCATGTGATGCAAAACATCCGCTTGTAAGCCCTGATAACAAGCAGCCTCATGTGCAAGCAAAACGACACTGCACCGAGGGACGTCGTTTTGGATTCTTGGACGCTACAACAGACTCAAAGACTTAAGCGCTACCCCCAAGCACCTGACCTCTTCAGCACCTAAACATTCCCCTCCAAATAGCAGTCCAAGGTCCGATGGTGCTGTGGGATGTAGGCACCCTTCTACCAGCTACCAGTTGCTAAACAATTACTTGGTCCGTGCAGCCAACCTACGCGGTAAAGGTACCCAACTCGATTCCACTGCTAGACAATTATGTGCAACCATATTCGTTAAATCATTCGCCAAATTGTTTCCAGTTGCTAAGCTCATTCCTAATCCCCCCTAGCCAACCCTCCACGCAAGTGCCACACCAGGTTCTTAGGCAGGACTCACGACTCCTGCGGAACTCCAAGGAAGGCCAGCTGCATTTTGGGGGCTGTTGCCCCACGTACTTTTATTCTGGTGAAGCGCATTACTGTCAGCCGCTAGGATCGGGGTCTGTTGCTAACGGTGTATCACCTGTTGCAACTCCACATGCGGGCGTCACCCAGCAACATCTGCCGTAAGGACTACATGTGTAGGCAACAGTTACAAATTGAATTGGCCTTCAGCAATTAGCCTAATGGCGACAAAAAAATATGGCTGCAGACAAACCCCGCTACAAACTCTATGAACTACCGGTAAATCTAACGATCAATCAGGTAAAGGGGCAGCACGGCTGTGCGCCTTTTACAAGCCAGAATTTCTAGGGAAAAGATCAGCTAACACAGCATAATATGAAAATCTGCATTTCGTGCAGTAAAGATATACAGGTGTCGGTACGGACCTTCTAGCCCATACGCTGTTCCGTGCATGCGTGTGTCATAGCCGATCGGCTCAGGCAGAATGTAGCTGCTCCGCATGGCGACTGGATGAACATCAAATGCAAAAATTAGTCCTTTTGTAGTCCAAGTATATCATTCAGAGACACAAAGCGGCAGTCTCTCTCCCCGACACCATGGGGTTCCACCCAACTCTACTCCGTCGGGGGTTGACCCCAGGAGTCATCCTGTGCTCCCGTGGTTCACCCAAGTTTCAGCAGGTTACCCTTGGAAGCTATCCTGTTCCCCCAGAACAAGAGCTGCTATGGAAGAACCGCATGAAGGCATATGGGGGCTACATCCAGCAAACGATATCACCTTTCCAGCTGAAGATCCTGTGGCCGTACTGGCACACTTTCCCCGCCAGGTACTGGCGCCTGCTGATCTTCAGTGAACGTGGTCCATTTACTATATACAAAAGCTATAGTTATTCTAGGCTTTCCGGTGGAGTAAATGAGAGGTGCCCACTGTGACTTACAACAGCGTACTGGGGTGAAAGAGCTGCTGAAATGTATTAGGGCGAGTCAAGCCCCCGCTGTTGAGCAGTTTCTTGTGGGTTTTTGTTTTGTTACACTTGCAGAGCGTGGGCCAAGTTTAGCGCATATTACTGGTGGTGGGTATGGCCTGGCATCGTAACTTACGGCATAATACAGAAGATGTTCCACGACGCTGAACGGGAAGTACGCGAGAAGTACTGGTGAGCCGTAGAAAGATTCCCAAGGTCGCAAATGATGTGTTCACTACTGGGGAAGCATTATTACGAAGACTTCTTCGTTCTTCCATCCTTTCCGCGCTTGCGCTTCAGGTACTGAGTATATGGATGTTACAATATACAGTTAAGAATGGTACGTTTCCGCTACGTTGTTTCACCGCTGTAACCCCGTGCGCTTCCCCTGGTTCGTAATACGACCAGCATGTGAAAATGGGGGTTTCCTAGTGCCTTTGTTTTCAACATTATTCCACGGGGGGAAGCGTGGAGTCCCCACTTTGCAACTCGAAGACAGCTGTTGTACAGAATAATGAAGTTGCAGTAGATGCGAAGATGAGTAGAGGAGAACAGCTGAGATGAATGCGAGCGAGAGCCCGGAACCTGTCGTTCACCGTAGTTTAAATAGAAATAAATAAGTGACGCCCTTTCGCGCCCTATCTATAGAATATACTTGGATCGTAGCACTTACAATCCCGCACCGAATGCATAGAAAAGCTATCAGATCACTCCAACATTCTGATACCTGCTGCCGACCAACGAACCGCATCTACTTGCCCCAGCACATAGGGCGCTTCGTCCTCCCACCTTCGCCCGTTCAGCTATCGGGCAGAGTTGCGGCTAGTCGCCGCAAGCCCGAGAGAAACTGGTGTGACACAAAAAACATCTTAACAGCGGCCCGAACGCTAGGTTCATTCTAATGGTTTGTCTGCAACGATTCGCCGCTCAGTGCATGCTGTGCAGATGGCAAATTACTCATGCACCAGCGCTGCCCCGGGTATTCCCAGATAAAGGACAAGCAGTTGCATGGTCTTTCGATGGTAGGCAAAGGACGACGAGATGTGACGCTTGCCACCGCTAAACGTTCACCGTGGAATGGTTGGCAGCGGCCAACTCTGCTCCGTTTTCTCCTGCCACGGCCACAGCCGACTCTCCCTCGCCTTCTTGTAGGGAATCTACTGGTATATGCACGTATCGCAGGTGCCTCTTTCTCTCTCTTTCCCTTGCTTGGTGCAGGGAACGCGCTATCACAAAAAGCCCGAAAGCAAGCAAGACTGCGCCCGTATGCAGGAGCAGACTCTGTGTCTTCTTCTTGATGAACCAGGGCATCTCATCGGTTAGAAGCCGAGCTAGTTCAGCAGCGAACAGATTGTCCTCTTTAATACGGTGTCGCCGACGACTATCATAAGCTTGGAGGACATCCATCTGCGCGCCTACGACGAAACCAACACAGCATAACGTTGTCCAGTGCCGATCAAATTGAGAAGCGGAATAGCGTGCCAATCAAATTGCAGAACGGAATAGTGTGCAGACACGAAAAACAAGGGTACAGCAGAACAGGCCTGCTTAACGCAGCTGCCCAGGGCCAATACTGAAGTGTCTTGACTGGGCATCTGCTTCGAACCAACTACACACGAAGCTCCTCATATCGGCTTACGGTACAAGCGAGGTAAGGCGGCGTAGTCTATCACTGGTGCAGGGATAGATGCATCTCTGACCATCATCAGTGAATCCTTGGAATTCGCTTTAATAACAAAACCCAACTCTGCTGCAAGGCCAACTGTGCCGACATCCTCCACCGGTACGGCTTTCAGTACGACCTCTTTCAAATTCTGGTCTTCCAAAGTACGCAGTGTTGCTGTCAGCAGCAGTGCTTCTGAGAGACACAAGGCCATGTGTAGCAGTGCAAACAGCACAGCAAGCAAGCTTCCTTGAGAACTAGGTGCACATGCCTACAGAAGCCCTATGCATGCCTGAGCCTTCCTGCTAACCGAATCATCGACGGGCCTGGGCAAATACCTTGCATAACTTACTAACATAGTCTTCTATTGGGGCACTGGCTCCCATGAAATCGATCATGCAAACTTCTCCCTGAGTTATGTGTGCATTCAGAACCCCGAAAACCGTTCCACGCTGTTTACCGACAGCTGCAGAAAACACGCATCACGCTAACGTGAATATCAGTGTACACTCGAAACTTGGGGGGTGTAGTAGAGGAGAAACAATCACTAAAAAGCCCCGTTTACAAGCTTCGAGTAGGCTCACCAACGAGCTCAAAACTGCGGGGGTACTTCGCACTGAGAATGCCACCCCCGTCCCGAAGGTCCTTCGCTTTTTCGAGGACAACCTCCGATGCGCGGAGCGCCTCCACATTTGACAAAGTCGAAGCCATCTTGACTTGCACCTGGTCGAATGCTTCAGCCTCCAAATCTGTACACAGAATAAAACAAGAAACAAAAAAAGCCCAGTGAGTTCCACAGGCTGCTATGACTGCCATTTTGTAGGACCCTCTGACTTCATTCCCAATTCAGCTGCAGACGACCTCACCTGAGACATAATACGACCACCCAGGCGTCCGAACCTTTTCGCGAAAAGTATATACGTGATCCGCTGCGCAAACAAACAAACCTTGAATACCACCCTATCCACAAGACGACAGCTCTATTTGGGAGCCGTTCGGAGATGTGCAAGCCCAATTATGTCTCTAGTGGGACACAAAGAGAGAATATGGTGCAAAATGCCAACAAATCCAGCAGCAGCAGAGCTATAATTGCCTGTTAAAGCGGACCCCCCACCTGCCTAGGTCTACAGTAAAACGAGGAATGCACGAGACATAAAGTAAGACAATGACGGCAAAAGAACACAAAACCTTCCGACGGAAAACGCAGTGGCGAAGTGAAATGCAACGCCTAGAGTTCTGCCTACCCATCGTGAGAATTTGCCGTTCCCGATGTTCGTGATAACTCCCTGCAAACGGCATATCCATGGACCATTCGTATATTCCCATTCCTCCTTCTTTTGAACCCTTCCTGTAGCGCTTCAGACAGAATCCAGTCTTGGCCAGTGCGTCTATCAGCAGTCCATTTTTAGGAGAAACATTTACAGTAACACTCTGTGTCCTGCAGAACACGGGGGGCTGTACCATCTCATTGACGAGTGTCTCCACTGCACACAAAGGAAAAGTTAAAAGGGGATAGGATAATGTAGAAGAATACAAGCACTAGCAATCAACAAAATGTTCTAAACAGGCAGCGGGCATACACGCAGGCAATGAACAGCAACTCACGCGCCCTCGCCTTGTCTACAGTATCCGGATGCATCAGAAGCCGATCGTATACAAGAGTGTTTGCATTTTTGTCGTAGATGGCTAGGCAAGAACACACGACATAGTCATTCTCGAAGACGATGACTGGCCAGGCCTTCTTGTCTTCTTGACTGTTCACCCGCTCAAGGTTCTGCAACTCCTTCTGCATATACACGCTGAGAAAATCTTTAGAAGCAGCTCCCGCTGGCTTCAACATCCTTAAAAAGTCTGTACCACTTGCCGCTGAGTAATTGAGATACATCTCCTTGCCTTCTTCATTAGCGTAATCTCCTTTCTCCCTATTGCCTGGGGGTGGGGCGGTTGACCTCTTGCCAGACTCATAATCGGAAGAAGAGTTGGCGTCGCCGGAGTACGAGCCTTCCGCATCCTGTCTCACATCAGAGGCATCTCCATTATATGCGAGGACGAACAACACGACAAACCAAACAATCCACCCAAACCTGCCAGAATAATGCCCTCCGATTCGGTTGTCCGGCGCCATCCCTACCCCGTACTCCTTCCGCAAGGTGCAGCAAGCCTTTCCGCTCTCCTTAACCTCCTTCCTGGGCAAAGAGTCGACGCCAGAAGCAAACTGCAGTTTGGAAGCTTTAGCGGATTTAGAGAAAGCAGCTGCTGAACATAACAGAGTCTCAGTGACAGCTGCTGGTCTGGGAGTCTCCTCCTGCAACCCAGGCTCAAGAAGCCCCAACACCCTTAAGTAAGAACGTCATGCATAAGCGAGAAAAAATAAATAAATCAATGAAAAAAGCGGACCGTTCGCTAGGACTAGACGGCGATATCGTCGCCCGTGGGCTGGCGGATCCAGGGGCGCTCCAGCGATATTTCCCTTCACTGAGCTACTGTTGTTCGCTTCTACAAGTTTAAGGATTCACTGTAGTAGATAAAGAAAAAAGGACTTTCCGTTTTGGCCCAACTGTGAAGAATTCGAACTCGAGCGTCATCCAACCGCAGCCCAAGCTACCGGGGGATCGAGCTCTGTGTTCGTTGCCATTATTACTCTTGCCAGCATGCACTTCAGATGAGAAAGGAATAAAAACTTGGGCCACAAGTTAATTTTGCATATAATAGTTATTTCTACGGCGATTAGCGCAATTTTTGCCCTAAGTCGTCAAATATATAGGCTCCTCCACTACACCGGTAGAGTATTCGCGCTGTAGTTCCGGCGGAAGTGTTAGTGCCAGTTCAGTAGCTAACCACAACAATATATCGAGCAAAAATCCTTAATACACGTAATTAGTTCAGCTTCCTTCTCCTTGGTTCCTTCTGCAATACAGCAGTCAACCTGGTTCTTTTTTCACTTCATGTGCAGGCAGCTGTTGGGGGCCAAGGAAGCGCCAAGTAGCACTTCACGGCGTTAGTGAGTGGATTGGAAAGCCGTCGTCTGTGACTGTATGTGAGGCTACCTTGCAACAAGAGTTTCAAGACGGTTTCCTCCTTGACTTTTGTCCTCCTCCCCGCACCATCCGGATGATGGAGGGGGGCCTATGTCCCAGCAAAAGCAGACACTGTTTGCCACCTTTAAAATATTCATCTTGATACTGCAATCCCCATCATATCGGTGCGTACACTGAGCCCCTATGCTTGCTGAATATCTACAGTAGCCAAGTAGCCCATCAAATTGCTCGCATCCTCTACGTTCAGTCTTTACCTTGAAGACTATGAACGAAAGGGCTGCCAGTAACCCTGTTGCTGCTGCAACTGCAGCAGATGCTGCAGTGGTTTGCCTTTTAAACAAGTGACAAGCGGCCCAGGCGAGCGCGCACTGTTTTCTCATTGAGGGGAGTGTTAAATCTTGTGCTTCTGTGCTAGTCGTACGACTAGGTGCAACCGATCTAGAGACCTCGACAGCTAGATAACCAGCTATCTAGCTAGCTCTCTAGCTAGCTTGCAACGAAAGCAGCTGCACCGAAGGCTAACTGACTGCGTGGAGCCTCCGGAGATGCTAGGCAGCTGCCTACTGCTTAGCTAGCCATATGACTGACTAGCTGTACAGCTAGCTGTACAGCTAGCTGTGAAGTTACGTGGAGGCGGCACTCGCCACATTTTGAAAGTGCCCTCAACCCCACAAGATATGAAGACCCCTTCACTAGGGAATAAGAAGATGCGCTGTACAGCTTTCTTGTGTGCTCGCAGCAGCAGCAGACACTCCGCATTTGCTGCTATTCGTTGCTGCAGGAGGTGTTCGATGTCACCCCTGCAGCCAGGCTGCTGCTGCAGCAGCTCCTGCTGCAGTTGTTGCAGCAGCAACTGGTGATCGTCGTGATGCTGCCGATGACTTAACAGGGAAGATAGGCGACCAGTTCGGGCTGCTGATACGCGGCTGTGGCTTTGGATAATGGATCCACTCTTCAGCCTATCCTGCTGTCGTTGATGCTGCTGCTCTTGCTGCTGCTGCTGTTGCTGCTGCTGTTGCTGTTGCTGCTCCGGTTGCTGCTGCTGGTGTTGCTTCTCAAACTGCTCCTGCTGTCTAGATGTAACGCCCGGGTGTGCGGCAACGGGCTGCCCCTCCGACAGCTGTGTTGGGGCTGCTGCTGCTGCAGTTGTTACTTTAGCAGTTGTTGCTGTTGTTGCTGCTGCAATTCTCGCTGCAGGTACTACTGCTCCTCCCTGAGGAGCTGGCAGCAGGGCATCAAGCAGAAGCAACAGCAGCGCCCCCTCTCCTCCCCCTACAATCAAAATGCCTCTCTCCCTCCATACAACAAGACAGGAGATAGTCTCTGCGAGGCAAGCGATCCTTGCTACAATTAAAATATTGGCAGCAACAGCATCTTCATGTACATCTGCATCCCCCTTTCCTACATTGCTGCTGCTGCTGCTGCTACTACTACTACTACTACTACTACTACTACTGATGCTGTATCGCAAGATAGAGACAACCCCTTGCTTCCCGCAGCTGCCCAACAGCAACAACCGCCTGTCCGGCTCAACACATGCGCTGCGGATCGAAGAGACTCCGGAGTATAAAGTGCTGCTACCGACACTCCACCCTTGATGCTGCTGCTGCTGCTGCTGCTGCTGCTGCTGCTGCTGCTTGCCTCTAAGAGCAATTATAGGGGGGTAGGACGGAGCTGCATGCGAAGGTGGCACGCCTGGAAATACGCAAAGCAGCAGTATGAGCTGGTATCCATAAGGGCTGCTGCTGTTGCTGTTGCTGTTGCTGCTGCTGCTGCGTTTGGTTACTGGTTGCAGCTGCAGAATTCGTATGCTGCCACTGCGGTGACAGCAGAAGAGCAGCAGACGACCCTCATCTGCAGCAACAGCAGCAACTGGATCTGCAGGAGATAGAAGTGCTCCCTTCTGCACTATAAATGCTGCCAGAACTTGAGCTGTAGCTGCATGCAGCAGCAGCAAGCTGCCGCTTCTTCCTGCTGCCAGAAGAACGGGCTGTTGCCCCCCACTGCTGCTGCTGCTGCTGCTGCTGCTGGGGTCTTGCTGCCTGGCATGAGGCAGCAAGAGCGACAGCACGGACAAGACGTCTACAGGCTCTTCCCGGATGAATTTGATTGTACGAGGAAGGGAGGAGCCAGTCAGCAGCTGCCGCTGCTGCTGCTGCTCTGGTGTTGCTGCTGCTGCTCTGCTGCTGCTGCTGATGCTCCCGCTGCCTTCTTGGTACCCCTGGCCACCCATCAAGGCGAACGCGACTCTGGGTAGCGCGCGTTTGAGTCTGCTGCTGCTGCTGCTTCGTCCGTGATGCGTGGTGGTGCTGCAGCTGGTTACAGAAGCAGCAGCAGCTGCAGGGCCAAGCAGCAGTGTTGTATCTGCTGCTGCCAGCTGCAGCACAGTAATTGTCCCATCCTCAGCCCCTAAGAAGAAGGCAGACAGCAGAGAAGAATAACTGCAGCAAAGAAAACGCATGCGCGGCGTCCTCATAACTTCGTGCTGCAGACAGCTGAATGCTAGCTGGAAGATGCTGCTGTTCATCGTACTCGTGCTGTTGACCTCCTGCTGCTGCTGCTGCTGCTGCTCCTGCTCCTGTTGTTGCTGCACCTGTTGTCGAGGCTGCAGTTCTTCCTGCTGATGTGGCTGCTGGTGTGGTTGCTGCCGGCAACACTGGTGCTGGTGCTCCTCGTCTTGGTGTTGCTGCAGCTGCTGCTGATCTGAAGCTCGCTGTTGCTGCAGTTGCAATTCATGCAGCAGCTGCTGCTGCATCTCGTACGGCGACAGGCCCCCGCCTTGTTCCTGCTGCAGGCGCCTCTGCTGCCGTCGTGGCTGCTGCTGCTGCCCTTGCTCCGTCTCCGGGGACAACAAAGGCTCGCTCTCAGCCACATCTAATGCGTCTCCATTTCCCTGCATGCGCTCCTTCTGCTGCTGCTGCTGCTGCTGGTCGTACAATGGTCCTTTCTTGTAACTCTGCTGCTGCTGGTGCATTGTCTTAGTAAGTGAAACTTCTGCTGCCTCTTCTGCTGCCTCAGAAAGGACGAGCATCTCCTGATGCTGTTCCAGCTCCTGCTGCTGCTGCTGCTGCAGCGGTTGCTGCTGCTGCTGTTTCCTCGTCGGCAGCGCAGCAAAAGCAGCAACGAGAGGACCTGCAGCTTGGGCTGGCGTTGTGTCATTGGGTGGGGTTAGTTCCCGGCAAGAGCTCGTTTCGGTTGCTGCCGCTGCTGGCGCTGCTGTTGCCGTTGCTGCTGCTGCCGTTGCTGCTGCTGCTGCTGCAGTTGCTGCTGCTGCTGCTGCAGTTGCTGCTGCTGCTGCTGCAGTTGCTGCTGCTGCTGCTGCTGCAGTTGCTGCTGCTGCTGTTTTTTCGTCAGCAGGAGGAATCCAGGGGAGGAACACGATGGAGGGGACAGACAGAGACAACAGGCAGCACCTCCGCCTAGACGGCTGACAGGCAGCAGCAAACCGCGCTCGTCTGCTGCTGCTGCTGCTGTTTTTGCTGCTGCCACTTCGGTTTCTGTCTGCTGCCGATCCACTTGTTGCTGCCGTTGCTGCTGCTGCTGCTGCATGTTGCCGCGTAAGTGCTGACTCCAGCCGCTCACACACAGAGGAAGGCAATGGCTTTGACAGCAGCAGCAGCAGCGAAGCAGCACCTCGCCGTGGCTGCAGCAGCAAAACGCTGCGTTTGTTTCTGGGTGTTGCTGCCCCCCTCATTCCAGTTGCAGCAGCAGCAGCAGCAGCTGTTCGCCGCTGCTGCTGCCTATCAGCAGAGAAGTGCAGCAGAGACACCCGGTTGCTCCATATATGATATATTGACAGCAGCACGAAAGGGGCAGGAGCTCTCCCTTGTAGCCACGCTGCAGGCCTTTGCTGCTGCTGCAGCTGCAACTGAGTTGCTCCCTCCTCTTTCTCCTCCTCCTGCTGCTCCTGCCCCTGTTGCTTCTGTTGCTTTTGCTGTTGTTTTTTCCTCCTTTCTCCCCTGCAACCAGCAGGGCGAGCACCGGCTACAGTAGGAGGAGAAGCAGCAGCAGCAGCAGCGGGAGCAACAGCAGGAGGCTGCAGCAGAGCAAGAGCAGCATCTGTAAGCTCCAAATATGTAATAGGCCAACGTAGCCGGCGGTGCAGCGGCAGGAGCATAGCTTGCTGCTGCAGCAGCAGCGGGGAAAGGGGGTGCGGCTGCCGGAGTCTGCTGCTGCAGCTGCTGCAGCAGCGCATGTGCTGCTGTCTTATACCTAATAATATTTGTATAGATACGTCGCACATAATATCCAGACGCTGCAGCAGCTCCCCAATAAAGGCAGCAACTTCCGGGGCTTCCTTTGCTGCTGTTGCTGCTGCTGCTGCTGCTGCTCCCTTGGGGCTTATGACGGCTGCCTCCTTTCCCGCTGTTGCAGGGCCCCCGCTCTCTGTTCCGCCTCCCTCGGGCGCCAGGTTGCTGCTGTTGCTGCTGCTACTGCTACTGCTGCTGCTGCTGCAGCAACAGCTACTGCTGCTGCTGCTGTTGGTTTTGCTGCTGCCGAGACGTACTGCAGCAAATAAGGCAGAAGCAGCAGCAGACAAACGTGCTGTTGTGCTTCTGCTCAACTCTGTATCAATACCGCTCCATTGGCCTCCTAACAATCTGCTGCTGCTGCTGCTGTCCTTCCGCTGCTGCAGCAGCGGGCTCTTTGGATACAGCTGCTGCACTTGCTGCTGCAGCTCCGTGTACTGTTGCCGTTGCAGGTACACTCGGAAACTGCACTGACAATACCAACCATCCTCACGTTGTTGTTGTTGTTGCTGCTGCTGCTGCTGCTTCTGCTGCTGGTGGTGGTGGTGGTAATGGTGGTGGTGGTGGTGCTGCTGATGGTGGTGCTGGTGGTGCACAGGGCTGCGGCTATGTGTTTGTTGTTGAGAATGCGCTGCTCTCCGCTGCTGCTGCTGCTGTTGTGACTGCTGCTGCTGCTGCTGCTGCTGCTGTTCTGTACTACTATTCGTATCATTGTCTCCGTCAGGAGCAGCTGCTGCATGCGCAATGTCTATAACAAACAAATCAGAAGAACGCGAGATAAATCCGCAAAAACAAACAGCAGAAATTACATGCAGCCCCAAAGGCGGTAGCGACCACCGCAGCTGCAGCGCAGCAGCAGCAGCTGCTGCTGCTGCTGTATCCTTTGCTGCAGCAGCTGCTGCGGCCTCTGCTGAATCCGCTGGTGTCAATGCTACTACGGACTCTTCCCTCTCTGCTGCTGCTAATGCAGCTCGCCAACCAGGGGAGTTGCCCTCGCATGGGCTGTTGCTGCTGCTGCTGCCGCTGCTGCTATGCCACTCGCTCAATGCAGCAGCAGCATCACTGAATTTCTGCTGCTGCTGCTGCTGCGGTGAGTGGCCCAACCGCCGCATGCATCCGCAAGAAGGCAGATAATGACAAGGGCAGGAGAAAGCACAGCCATTTGCTGCTGCACTGCAGCATTTGCTGCTGAGCGCACCCAAACTGTTGCGGCGATCTGCTGCTGCTGCTGCTGCTGCTGGAGAGAGACCAGCAGCTATTTCAGAATATTGTGCTGCTGCCACAGAACGTGCTGCAGCGGCTTCGTGTACAGGTGCTGCTGCAGCAGCTGCAGCAGCAGCAGAAGCTTCTGTGGGAGACACTGCTGCAGCAAAAGACCCTTCAGGGCAAATAACGGTGTCCGCTGCTGCCGCTGCTGTGTCTGTTGGTGAGGAATTGGGAGCAGCAGCAGGAGCTGCTGCTGCTGCTGCTGCTGCTCCCGCTGCTGTTGCACCAGCACATTCCAGCGAACTCTGGGGTGCAGGCGGCCTCGATTTCTGCAAGGACATGACTGCATGAGCAGCAGCAGCAGCAGCGCGGGCACGTGCAGCAGCAAGCCTGCAACTGCGGCAGCGAATTCTACTGCAGCACCTGCTGAAACAAATGCAGCAGCAGCAGCAGCAGCAGCAGCGGCAGCAACCAGCCGTGCTGCAGCAGCGCTGTTGGCCGCTGTGTCACTGGGAAGACTCTCCACTGGTCAAACCGAACATAACCGCTGCTGCTGCTGTTTCTGCAGTTGCTGCTGCAGTTGCTGCTGCGGGAGCATACATGATGCTGTGCTGCAGAAGTTTCGCTGCAAAGAGATGAAATGTGCGCCTGGGGAGCAGCAGCAGCAGTAGCAGCAGCAGCGAGAACGGTAGCTGCAGCAGCAGCAAGTCGACCCCAAGAGCAAAAGGAGCTGCAGCTTCTATTGCTGCTGCAGCACGAGCAGCAGCAACAAATACTAAGGGGAAAATCTGCTGTATGTTTCCCTCGAAGCCCGCATGTTTCAGCAGCATCACTTTGCTGCAGTTCCACGTTACCGCCCTGCTGCAGTTGCTGCTGCTGCTGCTGCTGCTGTTGCTGGGTCGCAAGCAGCTGCTGCCGCTGCTGCTACAGCGGCGCTGCAGCACATTGGCAGATAATGGAAATAGTAAAGACAATTACTATATAATAAAAGAGTAAGTAAATAATGAATAAATATTACTATAAATACCTTATGGGGACAGCAGCAACAGCAGCAGCAACAGCAGCAGCAGCAGCAGCAGCGACCCCAGCAGCAAACACCGCCACCACCGACCCCCACCACCAACCCCGTCGTGTTGTTTCTTCCTTCTTCCTCGATTGTTTTCTTTTTCTTATAAACTTCTTGGCATAACTCCTTCGTAGCAGCAGCAGCAGCAGCAGCAAGTGCAGCAGCAGCAACTGCTGCACTAGCAGCAGCATTCTTGTCTCCCACGCACCCTCCCCTTTGGCCCTTCTACAACACAGATCCTTTTTAAAGATCTGCTGCTGCTGCTGCTGCAGCAACAGCAGCAGCAACCCCACACAACGGTACCTTCCTTGCTGCTGCATAGTCTCGTCTCATACTGCAGCTGCCTGAGGTCCCCTGCTGCAGCAGCAGCTGCAGCACGAGCAGCAGTAGCTGCCATTCGTCTAAACAGCAACAGCTACAGCAGTAGCAGCAGTGTGTGGAAGCAACTGCCACAAGACAAGCTGCAGCAGCAAGCAGCAGCAAGCAGCAGCAAGCAGCAGCAAGCAGCAGCAGGAAGTGTTGCCGCCTCTTCCTTTTGCTGCAGCATATAATTTTTTACAATGCTTGGTGTGGGGTCTGGAGGTTGTAGCTCACAGCCTCTGCTGCATCAGCAGCAGCAGCAGCAACAACAGCAGCAGCAGCAGCGTATGGTTGTATCATCTACGCAGCAAGCAGCAACAGAAGCAGCAGCAAAGCTGCTGCCCCCCTCAAGCAGCAGCAGCAGCAGCAGCAGCAGCAGCTGTTGCAGTCACAAGCCGAGCTTAAAGGAGAACATATCATGTTGCCCAAACAACACGACAGCAGCAGGAACAACAGGAGCAGCAAGCAGCACCAATAACAGCAGCAGCAGCAGCAGCAGCAGCAACAGCAGCAGCAGCAGCAGCAGCAAGAAGAGGAGAGAGAGTATAGATAAGATGGAGCCATCTGCTGTAGAGGAGGACGTCTCCCTCCAATGCGGCCTCCATGCCTATCGATTCTCTCTTAGGGACTTCGATATAGGAGGATATCTTGTAATTCTCCTGCTGCTGCTGCTGCTGCTGCTGCTGCTGCTGCTGTTGCTGTTGCTGTTTATGCTGCTGCTGTTTATGCTCCTGTTGATGGCGGTGGTGCTGTTTATGGTTGTCCTGCTGCTGTTGCTGCTCTTGCTGCTGTTGGTTATGTTGTGGCTGCTGCTGTTGGTTGTTGCTTGTCATGGTGATGAAGATGCTGCTGTTGTTCCTGCTGCTTGTAGTGCTGCTGCTGCTGCTGCTCCTGCTGCTCCTGCTGCTGCTGCTGTTGCTGTTAGTGGTCTGTTGCTGTTGCTGCTGCTGGGTCTCTTGCGGTTTCGGTTATGGACGGAGGAGCTACAAACCTGTATTTAACCCATTGACTACCTCTGCTGCTGCTGTTGCTGTTGCTGCTGCTGTTGCTGCTGCTGCTGCTGTTGCTGCTGCTGCTGCTGCTGCAGGGAGATGGAGCCCAAGGGAGTGTCTTTTTAGCTCGTGAGCGTCGCAGTGGATTTATTTGTGTACTAAAATGTATCACTAAGGCACACCTAATCAGGTAATTATTGCTGCTGCTGCTGCTGCTGCTGCTGCTGCTGCTGCTGCTGTTGCTGCTGCTGTTGGTGCTGTTGCTGCTGCTGGTAGTGGTGCTGCTCCTGTTGCTGCTGTTGTTGCTGATGCTCCTGCTGCTGTTGAGACTATTCCCTTCCTTCTTTTGTATATATCTGTTCCTTTTTTTTTCTTTTTTTCTTTTATTTCTTTTATTTCCTTTATTTATTTATTTTATTTATTTATTTTATTTATTTTATTTATTTATTTATTCCTTTTTTTTCTTTTTTTTTTTTCTTTTTTTGTATAGGGGAGGTAATGAGGCATTACTTAGAAAAGAAGTTGAATTACAGGCACATCTTAAACATCCCCATATATGCTGGTCAGTTTGCTGCTGCTGCTGCTGTTGCTGCTGCTGCTGCTGTTGCTGCTGCTGCTGCTGCTGCTGCTGCTGCTGCTGCATATAGTGTACCAGTATATAATGCATATAGTGTTGTTATATATATCTTTATAAACACAAAAATAACGAATAAAAATAAGAATAAATAAGCAAGAAAAATAAAAATAAATAAAATAAAATAAATAAAATAAATAAAATAAATATATTTATTTATTTATTTATTTAATTTATTTATTTATTTATTTATTTATTTTTTTTTTTTTTTTTTTTTTTTTTTA